TAGCTCCAGCCTACACATGGTTCATCGCTGTGTGTATGTATCTACACATCCCCTTTACACACGGACACCAGACATATTGGATTAGGGGCCTGCCATCCTCCAGTAGGACCCCCTGTAACTTAGCTAATTACATCTGAGGCAACCCTATTTCCAAACAAGGTCCTGTTCTGAGTTATTGGGGGCTAGGACTTCAACATAGGAATTTTTGGGTGACACAATTCAACACATAGCAAGCTGTCTTGACAGGTGGGTAAGGATTCACCAGGCAGACGAGCATGTGTGTGAATGTGTGTGTGTGCACAGAGCTCATATGTGTGTGCGCTGTTCAGGTGCAGCTGTTAAACAGACCGCCAGAGGCCTGAGAGCCCCATGGCTGGGGTCTGTGAGCACACGCTGTGGGCTGGCTCAGCGGCCTCTCCTTGCTCCACCGCTGTCCTGCAGGCTCCCACCCCTGCAATCACTCTGCCTGTGCCTTGGACACCCTTCCATCAGGGGTCAGTCCAGGCTCTGTGGGGTTTGGAGCTTAAACAGTGTGCGGGCTTCCTTAAGAAAGAAGATGCAGTTAGCTATGGGAGTATTTATTTAAGATTACTAAAAGAAATGACAACAAATTACAGGGGCCAAGAAATTCAAGTCCTTTCTGCTGTGACCTCCTCAGGTGAGCTTACCAGGAAGCTTCCAGAAGGCAGCCTCCCCGACCCCACTCTCACATCAGGTAGCAGCCCTAGGCTCACAGGGGCCCCAGGCTTGCTGCTCAGCAGCTTCAGGAGCTTCCACCCCTGCTGTTGCCTGGCCGGTTCCTCACCCTTCAGGCTTCAGGTTGACACCACACTCAGGGTCCCCAGGCTCTCTATCAGCACATCGTCACAGTGATGGTGAGCCTGCGAGAGGCTGAGTGCCAGGTGGGGCTCTGAGTGCTTTCCCAGGGTCACTCACATGCCCGAGGGGTCTGGGAGAGCTCCGTCCTCCCTGCTCGGCATGAGGGAAGCAGGGCTCTGAGAGCTTGACCCTTGCCCGAGGTCGCGCAGTGGGTCAGGTCCAGTCTGGCTTCAGAGCTCTGCTTCTCAAGGGCTCTGCCCAGGGCGCCTCCCAGATGACAGGCCATGCAGGAACGCATGGCAGGCCTGTTGGGGGGCGCTCTCCATCTCTCAGCTCCTGGGGCAGCCTGGTCGCTCCTGTGTGTCCAGCGTCTGGCACAGAGCGAGGCACAGGCAGCCCTCAGGAAGTGCTCTCGGCTGCAGCCCAGCCGGGTCAGGGTGAAGAGCAGGGAGCAGGAAGAGACGCAGCTAACAGGCCAGGGCAGGGGCCAGGCTGGAGGGGCTTGTCAGCCGTGGTGCCGGGTGTGGCCTCTGCCCCCGGACACAGGGAGCCACGAGGGCTGTCCAGCTGGGGAGTGACCATCAGATCTATATTTTAGAAGCTCTGACTCTTGGGCTGTGATTTGAGGATGGGAGCGGGGGAGGTGCACAGATGTGACAGCTAAGGCACGGCTAAGGGACACGGAGGCAGCCTTGTCCTGTCCCCACCCTGTTCTGGTG